TCAAGCGCAGTGACTTCACTTCCCAAATTTAGAGGGGAAAAAAAACCATCCGGCGAAACGGTCTCTGTCTCTCCGCGACATATCTGGGGCTGGAATTAATTCAGACGCGTGTCATGTTTGGAATATTGTCGGGCTCCACTGAAAATTGCGCAAAATGGACGGAACTATTAAGGTAAGAGTGGAGGAGAGGGATCTTTCTGAGATGGACAGAGTCTGAGAGCTTAGACGCCTGTGGTTCTGCCTGTCTGGGACTTTTCAGGCTCTCCGAGCTGGGCTTTTCCTCCTCTCTCTCTCTCTCTCTCTCTCTCCCTCTCCAAGTTTCCTTTTCCTTTTCGTCGAAACTTTTGTTGAAAGTCGAAAACTATCGCGGAGGATGCGATGGATTCTACACACACTCGGACGCTCGTAAAAACGCACGGGCTAGACCGCTGTTTGTGATGGAGTAAAGCTGTTTCGCCAAGAAAAAAAGAGAGAAACGTTTCGTTTTTAGGATTAGAATAGCGAAAGTCCGGTGCTCGACGAGGCTGCTTTGTGTTTTCAGTATACCGTGGCGCGCGTGTGTTTATGCAGTGCAGTGGTTTATAGAAATCATACAGCTTTAGGCTGGAGATGTGGCTGCGCAATTGGAGTGGCACAGTGCCGAGGTTTTCCAACCATTCATATAGTTCAAAAGCCGAGCCCACCCACAATCAAATATTACTCCACAGTCGTTCCCTTCTTCTGATAACTAATAATGATTGCTATACAATACTTTTGAATGGGTTGTTAACACTTAAGGAAACGCGCTCTACTTAGAAGAATTAGTTGTGTGTGTGGTCCACACCGTTACTCGGTGCATTTTCGATAGTTTTATATTTAAAATCATAATAGTAATGATAATAATAATCCGCATATCCAATTGATATTACACTCTAAAAAATGTTGGGTTGTTTCAACCCAATGTTGGGTCAAATATGGACTAACCCAACTGCTGGGTTAAAAAGCTAATTTAAAAATGTAACCAAAATATAACCCAACGGTTGGGTTAGTCCATATTTGACCCAACATTGGGTTGAAACAACCCAACATTTTTTTAGAGTGTAGAATGAAATATTTCTGAGCATCAAATAAGGTAACGATCACTGATTGATTGTTGACTCTTGTGTGGAGGGAAGGGCTGCCGATTCAAACACTCCTTATTTTGCGGTCATATAAGTGGTCTTGGGTGTGGTATATGTTTGGGGCCGTACACCTCATGCTTGTGTTTCGATTTTCGCACTGGGGTGACTGGGGACAGAAGAAGAATGATTTTAATGCAGCAGCATGTTATGCAAAGAGCATAAAATCCTTGTGGAATTTATGGTATTAAGAATACAAATCTAGCGTTTGTTATTATTATATGATCAGTATACTGTTGTGATTGACTGTTAAAAAATAAATAAATAAATAAGTGATGTTTGTATTTGTGATTGGCTGTTAAAAATAAATAAATTATATTTGTATTAATGTTACAAATTATTATTAGTAGTAGTAGTAGAATTACTATTATAACAATGCCAATGCATAATTAAATTGTTCTTTGTACTTAACTACTGTACTTTAAATGTTTTACTAAATCAAATCTAATATTATTAGTAGTAGTAGTAGAATTACTATTATAACAATGCCAATACATAATTAAATTGTTCTTTGTACTTAACTACTGTACTTTAAATGTTTTACTAAATCAAATCTAAGTTGAGACACACACACACACACACACACACACACACACACACACACACACACACAAGGATTGGGTTAGTTGGTAACCCTTGTTCTGTGAACCCTTATCTTCTGTTTTGAGAGATTCACATTTGAACTTTATTGTTTATTTATTGTTTTGTACACTCTAAAAAATGCTGGGATGTTTCAACCCAACTTTGGGTCAAATATGTACTAACCCAACTTTTGGGTTAAAAATTGCATTGAAAAACAGCTGGGTTAGTCCATATTTGACCCAACGTTGGGTTGAAACAACCCAGCATTTTTTAGAGTGTATGACCCTAACCTAACATGCTTTAAAGTTTAAGAACATAGTGTATAAAATACACCTAATATAAAGTGCAAACCACAATAACTAAATAATGTTGGAGCTTGACAGCCAGGCATTTCTCCCACTAAATAATTACAGTCATCACATATTAGTTTTTATAAGTGTACTGTATCTACTGTAGCAGTAATGTAATCTAGAGGAATTTGTGTGTTATTTCGCTGGAATTTGACACGTATAGCTCTCTTGATTGAGTTTTAACTGTACACTTTAGTCGACGATGACGAGGGCGTGCGTCTCAATCCACGGGTATTTCCTGTTCCACACAGGCTGGTTTCCTGTCAGGTTTCCTTTTCCTCCTGAAACAAAAGACAGGAATGCGCTCTGCATAAAATAGCACTGTGCTTTCAATGGGGTCCGTACATCCCGACTGAATGACGCATCCTCTGAAGGACGAGCAGTGATGATGAAGTTGGCTGGTAGATCTCTAATATGACATTTTTCAAAATTGCTTTCCCAGTGAGAATCTTAACATACGGTAGAATAATGTATTATTTATGCAGCGTGTTCAGTTATTGGCATGCCTCTCCATAAATCTACAACACCAAACCAGCCTGTGGTTCTGGATGGTTTAAGCCAGCCATGCAAACACGGCCAATTTATAGCCTAAGGAAAATGGCACCTTTTGTGAGTATTTTAACCTCATTGTGACAAGAAGCATGCACTTGTACACTGACCATCGCCTAGCACTCTGTTTCATAGAGATTAAGGAATTTCGCCTTTTGACAGGCCTGTGTGTACGTATATACGAACATGAGTGTGGAATTAGATTTTCTATTTTTACAACCCTCTGTAATCTTGGGAAAGACTGCCAATCATGAATTATATGGTGGAGGCTGATATGTCTGTGTGTAAGTAACGTGTAACAGTCATAATAGCAGCTCTGGCCTTATCTGGCACCGTGAAGGCATTCCTTAACTCTGCCATACTTATCATGCCACAGGCTGCTGCTGTGGGTCGCCCCGATACTGTCCGCGGGATGCATTAATGCAAATGAATGATGACTGTCAAAAGAATAGCTAGGAGAATGTCCCATGATCCCCTTTGCCATTACATTTTAATCTGTAAAACAGCAGCATGACTTGTAAAACACACTCAGTTTGATATTCGGATGCTGCATGCTTTATGAAAAATATATTTCTATAAAAAATGCAAAGGAGGAATCATTCCTTTGGTGTCAAACAGTATCAACGTTCTAAACTCACTCAACAATTAACATCTTTCAATGCCTTGTGTTTGTTTATCTTCAGTTGTTTTGTTTTTGTGATGAATCTATGCATTTATTGAGTATGAAGGCTAGTAGATGTTAAGGGTTTCACAGATGTCTATAACTGAAATAACAGCGGGAAATCTAGGCGTTTGGTTCAAGATTTTAGAAAAGCGAAAGAAAGGTGAATGGAGACGGTCACATGCACGTGTAGATGCTGCTTTCTCCAGAGGGGCTCGTCTGCCGCGTTTGTTTTCTTTAATAAAACTACATCACCCCAGCTGAGCGCCTGCAAGGAGAGCAAATGTAGAAGTGACCCTGTCTGCCTCTGTTCTGTCTCACATTTGAGTCATGAACAAGACTAAGAAATCTTGTACTAATGTGAAGTTAATGGTTGTTATTTGTAACGGTTGTTATAAGTTAACTATTATTATTATTATTTTCTCAATGATGAAACTGTTGAAGTCAACGTGCTGGTCTTATTGTGGGAAAACTGGGGGATTATCATTCATAATCTTTTACCAAAACACAATAACTTCAGCTCCTAAATGACTTTCCTTTCTGCTGACATCACAAATCCCTGTTTTTAACTCCTCCCCCTTCAACCTCTTGATTCAACCTCTTGATCTTCTCCATTCTGCTTTGTAATTCCTACTGGATAAAATCAAGACCTACTCTACATTTGTGTTTTCTTATTGAATATCACATGGAAATATGAAATGAACTGAAATGCCAAAAGTCAAATAAGTTCTTTACATATTGAAAATCATGTTTTGAAATGCTTCTCAAGGTTTAACAAAGTGAAGCTTAATGACATTTTAATGGTTGTGTTTTCATAATTTTTTTCTCGAAATTGTAAATACAAATGTTCATATTTAATTTAATTTGTTACTTGCGGTTTCTTTGTAATTGTGAAATTTTCGAACAATTTTAGAATTGTTTCTAGTCCTTTTTATTTTTTTTTCACTGTAAACTGTAAAATAAAATGACATTTATTAGTATTTAATTGTAAAATTAGCTTTTTTTATTTACTAGCATTTTCTCAATTCAATCTTTTCTACACCGTTTTTTTTTTCAGTGTAGACAGTCATAACACTAAAGCATGTGACTGAATTATTATTATTATTAGTAGTAGTAGTAGTAGTATATTCTCAAAACCACCTGATACATAAAAGTCCACATGAAATCGAAATGTACTACCCTATTCACTTTCATAATGTACTTTTCAGGTCTTACTGTGCACAATTAATTGGCGCACATTATTCCAAGAAAAAAAAAATCCATTCATAATCTTTTATCAAAACATAACTTGCTCCACCTCTGAAACAACTTTCCTTTCTGCTGACATCACAAATCCCTATTTTTAACTCCTCCCCTTCAACCACCTGATTTCATTCTGCTATGTAATTCAATGGAAAAATCCTTCTCTACATTTTTGTTTCTTTATTGAATATCCCGTTTCACATGTAAATATGTCAAATTAAGTAAAACATGTTGCAGTTCATGTTGACTTCAAGCCGTTTTTCCCGTATCCGTATAGCAGTGGTGTAGCGATGTGTAAGCAATCAATTACACTGCTTCATTTGCACCCTGTGATTCTGACAAATTTACAATTTGTTTTGCTTCATTCTGGTTACACATGATGAACTGAAAGTCATTTGTCATTGGCTCTGTGCTTTAATGAGAAACAGTGATAGAGTTTCGGCCCATTCACTCCTCCAGGAGGCGCTGTCAGTGGTGAGTGAAGACCAGTCTCTGTTTGAGCCGCCGTACGCTGCTGCTGCTCCCTTACCCAAGACAGACATGACTGCGTCCGGCGCACAGGACTACGGTCAGCCTCACAAGATCAACCCTATCCCCCCTCAGCAGGAGTGGATCAACCAGCCGGGCCGGGTTCATGTCAAACGAGAATATGACCACATCAATGGATCCAGGTATGGCTTAAAAACCTCATTTGTTGCCATTATTCTGTATTGGTGAGTTGTTCTGTCTGAAATGAACATTAGTAAGCAATTTGTGTCTTTTCTCTCTCTCCCGGGTCTCTTTCTAGCAGAGAGTCCCCGGTGGACTGTAGTGTGGGTAAATGCAATAAAATGGTGGGTGGGACCGACGCATCTCAGATGAACTATATTGGCTACATGGATGAGAAGTGTGCTCCACCCCCAAACATGACAACCAATGAGAGGAGAGTTATCGTCCCAGCAGGTATTCAATAAATACATGGTGTCGAAACAATTTCCTCTCAGAAATTGCTATTAAATTTCACAATTAATTGCATGTAACACATTCTATTAAAAGAGGAACTTTAAAGTGGAAAGACTGAAATAGTATATTCTTTTGAAACATACTCCAAATAATCATTGTTTTATTTACAACTCAATTTTTTACAGTGTGCCAGTGAAATAATAAAATATATGTATTTTAAATATAAAAATAATTCGTTCTATTTAAATTTCTAATTCAGTTCTAGTTCTATTTCTATTCAAAAAAATGCAAATTCTGGCATTATTTAGTCACCCTCAAATTGTTCCAACCCTGTATGAGTTTCAGCTGATGGACACAACAGCAGTTGACGGTAGCCATTTACTTCCATATTATTGTTTTCATACTGTGGAAGTCAATGGCTACCATCAACAGGTTTCAATAGAGTGAGTAAGTGATGATAGAATTGGTATTTTTGGATGAATTATACCTTTTAAGGTGTAAAAGCTGCACCAAAATGAACTGTACAAATACAGATTCTAAACATAAGAATGCCAACAACCTCAACAATTATTTTCTCGAGATTGTGATTAATTTTCCTCATGACCTTAATAATGATGATCTGAACTTAATGAAAGTTTCTGGAGAAAACATGATGTTATAAAAAAATAGCAATAATGCATGACCTTTGTGGGGATTGGAACAGTCATTATTTTGGGATTTCCATTTGGAGCCACTAATAGAGCAGACATCTTTACTTTGTTTCTCTGAAAATTCTAAAAGTTTCTGTAAATGACTAAATCGCTGCTTTAGTCCTTACAAGCGGTAATGGTGATACTGGAGTAATTTTTCACACCTAAACCAATGAAAGCTGCTGGTTAGCTGTCTAATCCCCGATTCTAAACTAGTTTGTCTTTATTTCCATTTCAGACCCTTCTCTCTGGTCTCCAGACCACGTGCGGCAATGGCTAGACTGGGCCATTAAAGAGTATGGTCTTCAGGAGATCGACATAGCCATGTTCCACAACACAGATGGAAAAGAACTTTGCAAGATGAGCAAAGAGGACTTCCTGAGACTTACCAGCGCCTATAACACAGAGGTCCTGCTCTCACATCTCAATTACCTCAGGGAAAGTAAGTCCACCACCTCTTTGTATTCGTTTGAGATTGGCTAATTTAGTCTTGCACTTTTGCTGCCATTCTCTTGCCTACAAATGTGTAACACACTGTTCTTCTATGCCGCGCTTTATGATGTCAGAATCTATTGCAACCCTAATATTTTAATATTTGTGTTACAGTCTCAGAAAAGAAATGGTGAAAAGGCTGGGGCGATACACTTTAAGAAAAAAATATATAAAAGCTGTCACTGGAAAGGTAGCCACTAATATGCACCATTTAGATACTAATATGTACACTTCAAGTACCTTGTAGTGACTAAAATTATAATTTGGGGGTAAATAAGGTACAAAGGTGTACGTTTTGAAAGGTTACCGTTCCAGTGACAGCTTTTGTACCTTTTTTTTTCTGAGAGTGTACGCTTTCAAAAGGTACAATTTGCAATATGTACCTTTAAGGTACTAATATGCACCCTTTAGGGGTAAATAAGATACAAAGGTGTACTTTTGAAAGTGACAGCTTTTAGATCTTTTTTGTATGTTAAGACATAGAAAATAATAAAATAACTAATCTCACACTCTGAAGATGTTTTAGAGCAGTGCTTATATTTTGTTTATGACTATTTATGAGGTGCCAAGCAACTGACCAATAAATAGTTCCCAAACTATTCAATAAAGCATGTAATAATTGTACCACAACAGTCAAACGTTTGGAAGTAATTGTAACTGTTTAATGCATGACTATCCATGCACGAAATGAAGCCTAGTTTATTCCACATGGCCGCTGTCATTGTTTTTAGCCACGCAGTGGCACAGTCACTTCAAACCACACTGAGATCAAGTTTACAGAAATATTTTATAACATACGTTTTAATAGTTTGCACATTACGCTCCCTTTTATTCCACTCGAACGCTTTAGTAGGGAGGGCTCCTGTTTCGCTCCACCTGCTTGACTTTTACTGGACACATTTGGTTTGGCAGAGTCACAATGATTATGAATTTCAGCAACAATCCCGTCCAGAGCATCTCCCTCTGAGCGCTCTCGGCCCCAGACTTAGAGAGATGAAGCCCAGGTGCATGGCCTCAGGAGACGGGCCAGCGAGGCCCCTGCCTACACACTGCACGGGAAAGTTTATCCCTAATTTACAACAGAGGCATCTTGCCCCATTTCTCTTCCAAATGATTTCTTATGTTATTTCCCTGCATGTTTTGGCAAGAATCCCACAGCTTCGGCAAAAACTCATCCACTTTAAAACATCAGTGCCATCTATAAGTGAAATGTCTGGAGGACATGCCACGTCTGTGTTCGAATTATTTGCATTTTTTTTTTTTTTTACTTTTATAATATACTGACAATGACCTTGAAAAGACAGGTAGTAAAGAACAAAAGTTCAGCTTTTCTACAAGCTGAGGTAAATACTAATATATGATGACATTATATATTGTTAAATTATAACATTATATATTGTTATAATACATTGAACACAAAAATGATTGTATTCATATAAATAACACAACACACAAAGCCCTAACTTAAACAATAAAAATAAAAAACTGTAATTTCAATAAAGAATGTGTACATTTACATTTAAAATTATTTTACTGTAAAATAACATTAAATGACCCATTAGATATATTACAGTCATATATGAGCAAAAAGTTGAAACATTCTTCAAAATATAAACTACAGCATGAGGGTGAGTAAATGATGACAGAATAGGGAAGG